CGCCCCTGCCGTCCCCACGCGCCCGTCCCGCGGCCGCAGCGCAGCGAGCGACGTGGGGCGGGGGGAGAGAGAGAAATGTGGGGAGAAGCCCCGGGGACGCGGAGCGGGACGAGTGGCGAGCGTCTGTCTCCACCTGAGCAGGCGGGTTCGGGCGAAGTTGGGCGCGGAGGAGAGGGCGGGATTCGAGAGCGCAGGAGGCGGGCTGCTGGGGGGCCCCGAGGGCGGCGGGGAGTATAAATAGCCGGCCCGGTTTGACAGGCGCTGCGGTGGTGACTGGCGGTGTCGCCTCCCCGGCGGCGCGCGGGGAGGGAGGAGCGCGCGGAGCGGCCGGGTGGGGGAGGCGGACTCCAGTGTCCTGGTGGCGGCGGCAGGAGGCCGAGGGGGAGGAGTCGAGGCGGGTGCGGAGGGCGGGGGCCGGCCGCAGCTTCCCCGCGCCGGGCCGTGTCGCCTCCGTCGCCTCGGCGGTTGGGGGGTCTGTGGGGCGGTGCGCGCGGTGGAGAGGTTGGGGGGGAGAAGTGGGTGCGCAGCGCGGGGCGGCGCAGCGCGGTTTTGTCTCGTCCTGGGGTGCGGAGCGGCTCGCGCGGTGGCCCGGGGAGGCCCCCTCGGCTTCCCGCAGGACGCCCGGCCAAACGGCGGCCGGCTGCGGCGTCTCGGCCCCGGTCTGTGGCCCTGAAGGGAAGGGCAAGGGCCACGGCGACGTGGAGGGAGAGCAGGTAAGAGCGCGGGGGACGGCCGAGGCCGGCGGGAGCGAGCCGGAGGGAGGGAGAGGGAGGGCGCGGCGACCCAGCCCGGCCGTCCCGAGTGTCGCCTCCTCCCGGGCGCCCCCGCCCCGCGCCTGTGTTGTTTGCTCCGGCGGCCGCGGAGGGGCTTTCCGGAGGCTTGGGGCGGTGACACCGGCGGGGCTGGGGGGCAGGGCGGGAGCCCGCACCGGAGCGGCCCGGGGCAACGGTCGTGGCGCCCAGGGACCGCGCGCGGCGCGCGCTGTTTACCTCGCGGCGCCAGTCCTCGCAGGGCGGCCGGGCTGCGGGGGAAGCGCGTCCCGGGCGGCAGTTTCCGTCGCCGTCGGGCCTGCTCACCGCCGCCCGGGCGGGCGGGCGGGCGGGCGGGCACGACAGGTTGTACCCCGCTGTTCTTTTATTCTCACTCTCCGCGGCCGCCGCCGCCTGGTCCCCCCGGGGAGCGGGGCTGCGATCGCAATCTGTGTTTGCAACAAAACAACAACAACAACAACAAACCTCGGGGCTCTTCGGAGCTCCCTGCTCCGGTGCCCGCCTCCCGGGTCCCCTGCCCGCGGAGCTGGCCCGGGGGTGGGGGGCACCTCGCCGCGAGTGTCGTGGGCGCTCCGCGCGCCTCGGTACCCACTCTGCCCCGGCGGCGCTCCGCGCGCGCGCGGCGGCCGGACCGGCTCAAGGCTCCAGTGGGACATTTTCACTCTGTCAGCAGAGGACAGAAGAATAACCCACGGGGCCGAGAGTCAGCCCCAGTGCAGTTTCCGATGCCCCTCGTGGGCCAACTTGCCGGGCTGTCCGCAGAGGAGCCACGTTCCGAACAGAACAGCTTTTCTTTAAGTTCGTAGTAGTCTAGCAAGTGAGAGTAAGATGGGGGCCGCGTCACTGTGACCCTGGGACATCTTTCCCGTGTTGATGACACCACTCTGTGGTTTCTGTTTTAATCGGGCAGTGAGAAACTGTATTTGAGACCGCTCCTTTGATCTTTAGATTTTTTTTTTTCTTTTGCTTTTCTTTTTCTCCGAGTTTCTTTAAGATGGGCAAATTACTCACTTTCTCTAAGTGCCAGGATCGGAACAATGTCCGTCCGGACCTTACTGAGATAAGATTGTATGGGTTACAGTTTCTTCAGAGAGTTGAATGACTTCATGTGAGACTGGGAACTGTTGGATTTCATGTTTAATGGGATTTAGGAATAAGGCTTATAGAATGCAGTGCAGTTTACAGAGTTCATTCATGTGGCTGTAGTTGATACATCCAGTAAATACGAGAAGTAGAAATGTGAAGTGTCTTCAACACTTAAAATTTCAGTATTTAATGTTACCTCTTCCTCCTCCCCGTCTCCCCGAGTCAGGACAGGGCCTGTCTGTAGCCTTGGTAGTTTGTGAATTTGCGCTGTAGACCAGGCTGGCCTCAAACTCACAGAGATCCGCTTGCCTCTGCCTCCTAAGTGCTGGGAGTAAAGGCGTGCAATGTTATCTAATTTTAAACTTGATTACTTTGATTAATCATTGTACTTAGAGGGCATAAATAGTTACAGAATACCTAGAGTATGTTTGGAAAGAATTTGAAACTTTGGGGTTTTTCTGTCCTAAGTCTCTTCAGTGGTTGTGATGGGCCTACCGAATCAGGGTTGATGGTTTTGCCTGTTCACAGGGTGTGTGTGTGTGTGTGTGTGTGTGTGTGTGTGTGTGTGTGAATGGGTCGGGGTGGGGAGAGGTAGAAGCGTTATTGAAATACTAACCACATACCATTTAGTTGATTATAAATGTACAAGTTCAGTGGAATTTTTAAGGTATATTCAGAGTTGCACAATTACTGTACTCAAATTTAAAGTATGTTCTTTACCCCTAAAAAAACCATATGGGTCATCAATGTAGCCCCGTGGTATAGTGTTTGCTTTGCATGGGGAGGCCCCCCATGGAGTTCGATCCCCAGTAACACCATCAAGAATCAACCGACCAACTATCACAAGCATTAGCAGTCACTCATTTTCGCCCCCATCCTTCTGGCCTTAGGTAACCACTCATCTACTTTGTATCTCTGTGCGTTTGTCAGTACTTCATGCAAGTACACAGTACAGAATGTAAGCTTGTGACTGGCTCTTCCACACAGCATAACTTTTTTAAAATGTGTGCATGTCATAGCCTGTGTCAGTGCTTTTTGTTGTTATTTTGCTGAGTAATGCTCCTTTGCATGGATACACTTGCTTTTATTTATCCATTCATCAGTTGATAGGTACTCGAGTTTCCATTTCTTGGCTATTATGAGTGATATTTTTGTGCAAGCTTTTGTGTGGACTTGCTTTCATTTCTCCTTGGAGTGGTATTTTTAAGGAAATCAGTCTTTTGGCTCAATATCAAAAATAATTCATCCACTTTGAGTGTATAATCCAGTATTTCTCCCCCCCCCAGTATTTCTTAATAAATGTATAGGATTGAGAATATCCTAGGCTTTCTTTAGAATAAGTTTTTATGCCCACCCCCAATATTTTCTGCAGCCTGTTTATGGTTAGTCTTCAGTCCCCAAAGTCCCCAGCCCTACCTCGGCAGCCAGTCTGTTCTTTCCCCCATATTTGCTTCCTCTGGCCATTTTGCATAATGGAATCAATCCTGTGTATGTACTTAGGTCTGACATCTTTCTCTTAGCACACTTTTGAGACTGTTCTAAACTGAAGCATGTCTGAGGACTTTATTCATTTTATTGCTAATAAGTACTATATATTTTATGGATAGACCATGTCTGTCAGTTGACCATTGATAGGTATCTGGACTGTTTCCAGTTTCAGACTATTTAAAAGGATACACCTTGCATGTTTGATTACAGGTCCTTCTGTGGATGTTTGGTTTCCTTTTTATGAGTACACACAAGGGAATAGAATTACTGTGTCTTGTTTACCTTTCAGAGAAACTTCCAAATTGTTTCTCAAAGTGGCAGTGCCATGTTGCAGGCTCATCAGTCATGTCCGTGAGAAGTCTAGTTCTCTTTAGGTCCTGTCAGCATGTTATTGTTATTACTATTATTATTATTATTATTTTCGAGACAGGGTTTCTCTGTGTAGCTTTGGAGCCTGTCCTGGAACTCACTCTATAGACCAGGCTGGCCTCGAACTCACAGAGATCCACCTGCCTCTGCTGGGATTAAAGGCATGTACCACCACCTGGCTCAACACTTTTTTTTTTTTAATTTTTTATTTTATTTTATGTGCATTGGTGTTTTGCTATGTGTCGGGTCCCCAGGAACTAGAGTTACAGACAGGTATGAGCTGCCATGTGTTTGCTGGGAATTGACCAGGGTCCTCTGGAAGAGCAGTCAGTGCTCTTAACCGCTGAGCCACCTCTCCAGCCTCCTGTCAGCACTTATTACTGTCTGTCCTTTTCAGTTAAATGAGTATGACATGGTCATGTTAGTGTATATGAAGTGGCTAACTCATTGAAGTTTTGAGTTTTCCTTATGATTCCTTTCTTTTTTAAAAATAATTTTATTTAACTTTATTTTATGTGCATTGGTGTGAAGGTGTCAGATCTCCTAGAACTGAAGTAACAGACAGTTAGTTGTGAGCTGCCATGTGGGTGCTGGGACTTGAACCTGGTCCTCTGGAAGAGCAGCCAGTGCTCTTAACCGCTGAGCCATCTCTCCAGCCCATTATTTTCTTTTCATGTAGTCAGTAACCATAATTGTCCTCTACTGTCTTTCTTTCTCATGGTATTAACATGCACTCGGCCACCAAGTTATGTTTACAGCTCATTCATACATCCACTTCATTTATTTATTTATTTATTTGTTCATTTATCCATCCATCCACGTATGGATGTGCTCATCTATTTATTTACTCACTCACCCATTTATTTATTTGTTTGTTTACTTATTTATTTATTTAGAGACAGGGAGTTTCTCTGTGTAGCCCTGGCTGTCCTGGAACTCACTCTGTAGGCCAGGCTGGCCTCTAACAGAGATCCGACTGCCGTTGCCTCCTGAGTGCTGGGATTAAAGATGTGTGCCACCACCACCCGGCCCATTTTTATATTTTTTATAAATAATTTTAGGGCTGTCTGCATCTGAAGGCCACTTGAGTTTTGGTAGAGATTGTTTTGAATCTACATCAATTTGGGGAGAATTCCTATCTTATCACATTGAACGTGAGAATTTCATTTACTGATTTAAAGTATTCACTTAGAATTTTAAGTTCTTCAGTGAATAAACTCTAAATTTTAAAAAAGAAGCTGTAAGCTGGGCAGTGGTAGCACACACCTTTACTTCCAGCACTCAGGAGGCAGAAACAGGCCGATGTCTTGAGTTCGAGGCCAGCCTAGTCTACAGAGTGAGTTCCAGGACAGCTAGGACTACATAGGCTTCCCTGTCTCAAAAAACCGGGGGGTGGGGGTGGGGAGCTGTATTTAAGTGTGTAATATAGTATTGTTTACTGTGGTCAAAATGTGTCACAGCAGATCTAAATTTGTTCATTTTGTACAGCTGAAACTTTATGTCCATTGATGTTAGTTAGGCATCGCTCTCTTAAGCCATCCTGGCGACCCCTGTTCTCTGGGTTTGGCTATGTTAGGTAACTCATGTGAGTGTACTTACCTTCCTGTGTCTGCCGCCTTATTTCACTTAGCATAATGTTCTTAAGGTTCATCCGTGTTGCAAATAGCAGAATTTGCTTATTTTTAAAGACTCAGTAGTATTACATACACACACACACACACACACACACACACACACCAAATTTATACCTCTTTCTTTTTCAGTTTATTTTCTGAGTATTTTATTCTTTTTGATGATACTGTGAATGGAATTGTCTTAATTTTTTTCTTTACGTTTGTTTCTTTGTTCAGTGTGTATGCACATGCCATGATATTCTGTATGTGTGGAGGCCAGAGGACAGCTTTTGGGAGTCAGTTCTCTCCTTGTCCCATGTGGGTGCTAGGGATGGAACAAGGGGAGTCAGGTTTGGAAGCCAGCCCCTTTACCCTTGAGCCGTCTTG